CTGCTGTGCAGAGTGATCAGGAGAGGAACTAGGCTCGACTTTTTCCCCTAACTCAGTCTCACCTCTCACAGTCTCCTCCATCTCCACCACCACACAAACATCAACCTAAATCCACAATACAGGAAATGATCAGGCAATGTTACATTGTAACAACCAACTACACCTTCAGTATTTTTATCCCAGTTATAGCACCACTATGATAGACTAGCAAGGAACGGATTTAAAAAAATCTCTGCTTTTGGTTGCTAATTTAAAATAAGAAGATTTAAGCATTTTACAAAATTATAAAAGCTCCTCTAAGCTTGCCCATTAACAAAACTTTATTTCTAATTTTTCTCTGATCAGACTGCTGCAGTGGGAACTCACGTGTTGAGGGACAGGTTAAGCTCCTTCTGACACAACAGCTGCAGGTCCCACTGGTAAGCGCTGGGCACAGGGTGCCGGCTGAGGCACTTCCTTAATCTCAAGCGAGTTTTTAAGCCTGAGGTCTGCCTGGGCACTTGGAGCTGCTGGCAGCTGCTATGGCAACCCCTACACAAACCCAGCTAACAACCCAGTCCCCAGGAGGCACCTCCTCTGTCCCCACTTCCCACTGTATCCACCAACCCGGTGCTAACTTCTTAACTACTTGTCTTTTTTGATGCACCATAGTTTCCCCTCACATAGAAATCAAATCCTAAGCAAGCAGCTTCCCTGAGCCTCAGCATTTCTGTCACGCAGAGTCACGGGAGGCCATAGTGAGCTGCACCCCAGCAGCCACACTACCCTGCTCAACACAGCCTTTCTCAGCAGGGCAGCAACCTGGGTTCTGGGCAACACATGAAGAGACACAGCTGAGACAAGGAGCCCAATAAGGCCTTTCCCTCTTCCTCTGCCAGGGAAAGCCACTTCCACATAGACCTGAACAATACTGCATGATTCATGGCTTATCCACCTGTGGCACCCTTACTCAGCATGCTTCCTTTTTCCAGATGATACCCAACGACCAAGCTTTCACTGCAACAGGTTACCATTCAAACCCAAAGGTTTAGTATCTCACAGGACTTCTGTATTTTATGTTTTTAACGGATCTCAGTGACCTTGAATCAGGCCCCAAATGTAATGGCAGTGCCCTCGACACTGAGAGACTGTAAAAAAAACAAGAGGAGAGGAGGATGAGGAGGCACCGCCGGTAGCCCCGCAGGCTGCAGCCTTTTTTCTAGGGAGCGGCTGCCGCTCCCCTCACTCCCATCTCTCCCATCGCACCCAGCAACGTCTGCGCGTACACAGCCGCCTCGCTACCGGGACGAAGCTCCTCAGGAAGCGCAAACGACTGCACTCCGCACCCACTAAAACAGCTGAAGTCGCTACCGCTTCTCCAAAGACTTTTTCGGTCAGGGAGCGCCCCCTCCTCCCTCTCCCCCCGCTTCCCAGGGTCGCGCAGGCGCAGCCCGCTCCCGCGAACAGGTGAGGGAGCCTAACCCGCGTGCGCGCCGGCCAACGGCAGGAGA